AAAGACAAATTTATCATTTAATTTTTACATTTTTGAGTTATGCTCCGATCGCGCAAGCTTCTTCATCATTGCGAACGTATCACGCGTTACTTACGACCCTCGTAAATCGCACGGCCAACGCCCCGCCGACGCGATGCGCGTAATCCCCCAAACATTCGCGAGCGCCTCATGGAAGAACATTAACGTTCATCTCGGGCGATTAAATAAGTCATATCGCCACGTCTCTCTTAACGAAGCGCCGCCAAATATCCTCGTGTTCGTACCGTGCAACATCGGCGTCGTTGTCTGTCGCAGTCGTCGACAGCCAGAAGTAGTTTCTTTTTACCTTCTTCAAAATCCTCTGCTCTTTCTCTACCGTCCTCCGATTCGTTCTTTTATTCTTATCCTTGTGAGAGATGCAGTATTTATAAGCAAAGACAACCAACGCGACTGAGAGAAGAAAAGAAAGACAAAGAAATAAAGAGAACCGAGGATTTCGCAGCACGCGTTCTCGATGGTGTTGGTGATGATACGTTCCATCTTTATCCTTGTCTTTTCTCCGTTTCATTCTCAGGAGAAAAGCAGCATATGTTGTCTCTCCGTTCTTTCACGATGATACACCCGCCGTCTCGCCACGCTGCAGATTGTAGCTGCTTTGACAGACCGGTGGCTGGCGTGAAAACGCTCGCCAATTAACCAGCGGTTGAATTATGCACCTCCTCCTTTACTTAACCGCTAGTTTAGTAGGTGACTTACGTCGTACTTGCCAGCCGACAAGCCACGGACGAATTCGAGTACCACGTTGAGCGCTCCTTCTCTTCTATCTCCTGTTTCTGTCCTCTTTTCTCTTCTCGTCTCGATTCTCTTGTTCTTTTAGCATCTAAGTCTCTTTTTCCCCCCTTCTCTTCTCTTCCTGGTGGGCCGGTGCACAAAGCGGGCATGGTGTCGCAAACAGCCGGACATCCGGTAACTCGCAGAGGTTCCTTTGAAGTCTTTGAGAACGCAAATTCGCGGGATCGTACGCCGAATGAAATATCGCGTTGTGTGCATCCACGTACCATCTCTCTGTTTCCTCTGTCCTCGTTGGCCGCATTGCGACGATGCGTCGCACGCCCAGATACGCGTTAAAGTGGAAAACGATTACGAACTGCGGGGGATTCTACCGCAAGCGAGAAATTATAGTTTTCTTGCGAGAACCGTTTACAGTTATATTTCTTTTTCCCTCGGCAGAAGAACTTCATGCTTTCACGAAGATTATTTACCACTTCGACCTAATCATAGTATATTTGGGATACCTTATTGCTATGTCTTTACTGCAAACACAAAATTTTAAATGAATTTTGCCTATTTCTACCAATATAGATTAATTTTGATTTCTTCATCTTTTTTTAAATTCTTACTAAAAAAAGATAAAGAATTAGTTGAACCGAGATTAAAATTAAGTTATAATGTTGATGTGGAAACGGGCATTAAATGTGTGATATTAATATTCAGTTGATGGTGATATTAGATTACTATTAATAACGTATTGTGTGTATATTTATAAAAATGTAGATATGGGAAGATAAAGTATTGTATATTTCAATCTGGTTGGCTGAGATACTTTTATATGTATTCTTTTATCGCAGTGATAAATCTCTAAAATGTCCAACGTAGCCTGGACCACGATTCCATTCACTGAAATTCGACGCACAGCTGACAATACTGTCCGTGAAGTGTCCCTCGTAAAATTCGAATTTGTCCGTTGGTCGTTAGCCGAGAAATCCAAAACCATCTTTCGCCCACCTACTCCAAACTCGCTTTCTCTCTCTCTTTTTCTCCTACTGCAGGCGGTCGTACGGAATAATCTACTATCCGTAGAACAATCTATCACTCTGTACAACGAAAGTTTGACGCAATGTCAAAACGCGGACCCGTTAATTTTTCATGTCGTTTCACCCGGAACTCGTGCTGTAACTGTGCCTCCTAACTCCGGTCATATATACACCGCCGACCTGATCCACGTCGTCGACGCTGGTCCAGCAAGTTGTCTCGACTTTGCCATTCATTATTCACCACCTACATTGATACGCTACCTTTCGACAACGCGGAACGCACTTGCGTGACAGTGCGCCAAAAAAAGAATGTGTCATATCTGTTTTACAGATTGTCTGGTTAAATTCAACTCCCTTTATTTATTATTTGATATAAAAGATGTCTTTGTAGAAAATATTATTTCTTATTAAATAAAATTTATGATATATTATTATTCGTATATGCGATGGTCATTAAAAAGATTTTATTAATAATGATGAATTTATGTAATAAATTTATATAATGATATTACGATTGTGACACAGATATATACAATATATGTAGATATATTGCAATATCGTATAGTGAAGTTTTATTTATAAAATGTAGTAGGGATGCATTACTAGCGTGAGCACAGTTATTTGAATATTTACACATATATGTATTGTCTCTTGCGTTTAATTATTGTGATTTTTGCAACTAAGTAAATACATTAATAACATCTTTATATGTGTATTTATATACATATACACATGTATATACATTTATATGTCATACTGAGGCTCTATCTGGAAATAATTTGTCATGTTTATATATATATATATATATATATATAAAATATCATTAACTACTTAATCTTTCCCCTCTATCGCATTTTTATAACGCCAACTCTACTCTAGCAGAGCCCCCACCAATGTTTCTTTATCGCGATCAAAGTATGATTTTACGAGAAGCCGTGGGCTAAATATGCTCGCATCGTAAAATTAATGGCGTTTCCATGAAGGAATTCGCTACTTAAAACTCGATAAAAGCCAATAAAGCATTGCCGCAGTTTAGTTGAGTTTATCGCCTGCCCCCTTTGAGTAGTTCTCGCAAGTAACCGCGGCAAGCACCTGTATCCATTTGCGATATTTACTGCGTCCTTCGCAAGAATTCATGTCATGACCGGCAATGTCGTTGTATATAATGACGATTCTTAGATATGAAAAATTGCGCGGCTACCTAAGCATTGTAAACTGTACAATGTACATTGTACATTGTAACTTGTACGGCTGTACAACTACTGTTAATTTTTATTAATTATTTGCGTAATGACGCAACGGTGAAGTTACACGCGGGGAAAGATGTAAGTGCTAAAAAGCTTCGTTCATGAAAATACACGTGCGTATGGCAAATGAAAAAATGGTGCTTGAAAAAACGCGGATGGATTATGAATTACATATATCGCGATTAAAGCATAACCGTGGATGTATGTTGCGATTGCAAACTATTTATTTTACAAATATACAATTGCGTAAAAATTGAAATGTTTCTTTTAAGATTTCATTCACTCGCTTATTTTTACTGCAATAAATTTTCACGGAAATTGATAAAATATCGAAATAAAATTTAACTGCAGTACATCATAGTCCATGTAAATGGGCTATATCCTAGTGTTTCTTGGGCATTGAAAGCTCTCGCGTTATTGCTAAGGGGAGAACGGACAGAATGAAAAAGATCGTCATTTTCTCGTTATTGCACTATGGAAACGCTATAACACTAAAAGTGACCATATAACATCCGTATGCATTTGTGGAATAAAATAGCCGATTATCGTTCGTCTGTGCGCCATTATAAGATACATCATCCAGACAGTAGATAGCCATGTCTCCCTTAGTAGCATGATCATCTTAGAATTGAACCGTTGTACTGAGTAATAATGGTTCGGTTTATCTGCGACGGGTACTAGCTACCTATATAATGTTACCTTCTCCTTTCATGCATCGACATTTTTACCCAGATATCTTTATAGTAACATAAAATGGTTTTATTACGATTTAAACACTATGTGGGTATTTATAACACGCTACGACATAGCTTGCCAATTCTAAAACACAAAACTTTTCATTATCGGAATAGTTAGCTAATTATGCATTTACATCTCCTCATTTATTTGAATACTTAAAAGTAATACTTATTTTTTTTAAGATTTTGTTAATTTATTATTTTGTGAAAAATTATATAAAAGAATCGGCATTTATTTATTTATTTCGATCGTAATTTAATATTGAATATTCCCCCGACAGTCGTGTATTTATATCGTTTATAATAATTTTTCTTCGGTCCTGATCTTCAGTGCATTTTTGAGAACACCGTGCATTCGTACGGACCACTAGCTGAAGAAGCTGAGAATACGAAAGGACACCGATACTCACATAACTTTGAATCTGGCGGATGGGAGCGCTCCGCAACTCTGAAGGTTTATGCCGATTCAGAAACGAGTTGATTCATGAAGACAGCATGGACCTCCTTAGGATCTATAGCTTGATGCACCCCAGGCCGTAGCGGGTGGTCCCGCGAGTTGATTTCTTGTTTCCTCTACCGTAAACCGCGAACGCGGTAGCCCTCATCGTCCTTCTCTTCTCTAACTTTGTGAAAAGAGCGAGAGACAAGAAGAGCACCGGAGAAAGGTGGAGAAAGAGAAGAAGAAGGTAGAGGATAGGACGAAAGCGACGTTCTCCGCTATAGGAATTGTCAATTTAAATGTTTACTAATAACCAAGCTTGTCCAGCAACCACCCAGAAGTCAGTCGCTTTGCATTTTTATAAGTACATCCCGGCCGTCCCGGTTCCGAGAATGAGAACGTTTCATATTCATTCACCGTTCTAAAAGAATGGTCCCCTGCGTCGACTAGAAGTCTCCTCATGTATTGTCTCTACTGAATTGCACACGATGCACGATTAGACCCTCGACTCGAATGGCATAATAATCAACATGTTACCCGACTCGGAAAAGCGGCGTATGCCCAAGAATATTGAATTGCATTCAATTATCAAGTCGTTCGATAAATTCGATACATATATGGAGTGTCTCCAATTAGCAATCTAAAAGAAACGATAAGTTTATATGAAAAAATAAATGTTTTAGACACTTATGTAAAGAGGAATATGTAAACATTTGATATGTATATATAAATATTTGATGCGGATTGGCGGAAAATTATAGGTCAGAAATGATAACTCATTTGCTTTCCGTAATGATTCGTTTATTGCGAAAGGACACAGTCTGCGTTGATGTCACATGTCAGTGTGGCATCAGCGAGTTCGCGTGAAATTTTGGACACGAATGACTAAAAGGTGATGGCGATCGTTCACTCTCGACATGACATGATATGTTGACAGCCGTTGTGCCCGTGGCTTCACCTTCGTGTAACTTAGAACATTCCTTTTCTACGCGACGACGATGGGACGCGACGGAAATTGTGTTCGCAGTAGATTGCGAGCGACGTCATACTTGCGCATCGATTCGCGATTTGACAGCCTTTATCCATTCTTGCGAAAAATTATCACGAGCCAATAATTTTTAGCAAAATAAATAAGAAAGGAGATACTTACAAGAAGAGGAACCAAGGACTGATCTCCAAGAATCTTTGTACACCCCGGTGATCCCTCGCAATCTGTCGCCAGGATTAACGACCCATACCTCGTCATGCTTGACCGAGTCGACGTGAATCGATAATATTATAAACATTGCAATAACAATCATAATAATAATCATAATAATCATAATAATAATAATAATAATAATCGTCATTAATATGAATTATGATCTCAGGTAGGCTAGTAATATAGTAGTCTACTCTACATACAATACATACACTGGCCGGACGATTCCTCTACTAGGCCTTTCTCTACTATTTACAAACGCATAAATAATATTAATTATATTATCGTATATCTTTAGATATTTATAATATTTATATGTGTGTGTAATAGTACTGTCGAGTTGACGCGTTAGATGTTGTACGGTTATACCGCGATAGAGCCACTATGGGTAGTCGGTACTACGAGTTTTTCCCTTTTTATCGAGAATAATTGAGTACGGAAAATAAAACTTGAATAAAAAGTTGGAGGAGAGAAGGGAAGAAAATGAGAGATAAAAGAAACATCGACGATGACATTCAAAAAGAGAAAAAAATGAAAAGACTAGGAAATGAGGAAGCAGGGTTGGGGCAGTATATCTCATCATCTTCCGTTTTATACTGTACACTAATTACAAGATTGTAGTCTCTGATTATTGTCAGCCACACCACACAAAACGCCCGCCGATGCACAGCGCGCGCCCGCGATAAACGTCTCTTTAGCGATTGGTCGCTTCGTCGAGTCACACTCGTCCGGGAGATTTGAGTTCCTGAGTCGCAGGCAGACCGCCGCCCGCCGGATGAGGCGACTGATCGGACCCGCCCGACGACGCCGTCGATGACGACGACGGTGACAGACCAGAGGACGCGGTAGTCAGTAAAACTGTCGATCCGGCGGTGGTACCGCCAGCCGCCCCGCTACCACCGTTGATCGTAAAAGGTTTCACATTACCGGCGGCGGAGATCGACGAGGACGAGGACGTAAGTATGCTCGGAGCCGTGGATGGTGGTATTACGCCGCCAAGTCCACCAAGAGTTCTCGAATATGTCTCCAGCAGAGATATGTCACCTGAACCGAGATGGGACGCACCGTACAAATTCCTGTAGAAGTCCGGATGCGGTCTTACAAATTGCGTGCCCGGATGTATCGGGTGGAGGGGATGATGAGGCGGCAGTCGACTAGCCAAAGGGCTTACGAGTTTGCCCCCTGTAGTGCCACCGCCACCTCCACCGCCGCCGCCACCGCCAATGCTACCTCCGCCTCCGCCCGTTCCGCTGTAAGGTGACGTGAGACCTGTCATCGTGGCCGGATTCGTATTCTGCTGATCGCCGTCCTTGCTCGCCATATCCGCCAGTGACCAGATTCGCGGTTTCGTCGTCACTGCGCTACCTGTGGACGGTGCGCTGGTGCTCGGCGGAAGATGATGTTGACTACCTGGCGACGTGCTCTCCGGCGAGGGATGACGCAACAATCGGCCGTGATTTTGAGTGAGATACGCCGGATGCTGCAGCTGCAGCGGATGCCTCGGTTCCCTCTGATCGTACAGACATTCCGGACTATCCGGGCCACTGTCTGCTCGCGACTCGCTCCACTCACTCTCGGTTCTACCTTGGACGCCCGCCGATCCACCACTGCCGCCATGCAGTAGGTCCAAACGGTGCGCCGGTCGTTCCCCGTCCTCGCTGGAACCTGTACCTGAGTCTTTCGAATCTGAACCAAGAAGAAAAAGTCGAGCGTCGTAATTCGGAATAATACAGCTCCGATTTAAATTTTCAGTTTTTTAAAAAACTGAATTTATTTAACAATTTAAACAAAAGAATTAGGAATACGATAATCGTAGTACTAATATTGGTATTAAATTTGGTCGGTATTATTGATAATGTGATTATATTTAAGAAATATATTATTCAAGAGACTCACCTAGCCGATCTTTCTCATCAACGCTTTTCCTCCCGCTATCATCGTCTTCGTTATTGTTATCTTCGTCTTCAACGCGATTTCTTGGTTCCCAGGTCATTTTATTTTCTTTTTTCAAGCGTCTCCGCGCGTTCGCAAACCACGTCGACACTTGTGTCAGTGTCATCTTGGTAATAATAGCTAGCATGATCTTTTCGCCTTTCGTGGGATATGGATTCTTCTTATGTTCGTTTAACCAAGCTTTCAGCGTGCTCGTTGTTTCCCGTGTCGCGTTTTTTCGCCTCGCGCCATTTAGATCCATGCCATAACTATAACAAATTAAAGTGAGAAAAATTATATATAGTCATTCTCACATACAACTATCATTGAATTATCTTTTATATTCTGTAGAAAATATTTTTATAAGCGATATATGCAAAAAGTGTGAATTAACAAAGTAATAATGACAAAGCAATGATGGAAATTCAATGGTGACAGTAAGACTATTGCTTGTTTATATTCTCAATAACAACTTGCGTCTCGCAATCGGGGCGCAGATGCAGAACTTGCGAGCTAAGTCACGCGTTTATTATCCTGTAACTGGTCTGGTAGGCTTCGAAACGGTCTCTGCGCCTCATCAGACCAGTCGAGGATTAAGTTCTACGTCATAAACGCGTTTTCGACAGAGACACGTGACCTGGATAGACACATGCATGGGACACGATACTTTATACGCGAGTGAGTGAAAATAAATAAGACACTGAAGAAAGAGCCAACGCCAAGGGAGACTACCAGATCTTCCGTGGAAGTCCATGTCGAAAAACTTATCCCATCGCGGGGCTCGTTATGCCTTTCCCAACGTTAGTATAAAAGTCCGAGTCTTGCTCGGTTTGAAGAGCGATATAAGCGGGTAGGTACTACTTTCATCCCGAGAGCAGATCTCTATCTAACGGTTTAAGCTCTTTCCTTCTATTCCAGAGAAAAGAGAACAGCGGGGCAAGGCAGAAAAAGAAGAGAAGAGCAAGCAACCTTCTTCTTGCTTTCCGCCTCACTCTGTCGGACTGGAGCGACCGACCCTCTAGGATCCCATTACTAAAAGACTAACCCTTATCAAAGATTAAACTTCGGTATAACTGCTGAATCGACGGGATCGAAATTAAATTTTCCACCAACAGAGCGACCGGCTAGGATTCACGGGGTACTTTCTCTCTGCTTTTTTCTTTCCCTCTTTCTTTCTTTGCCTCTCCTTGAATTTTATTTTATTTTATTCTATTCTCTCTCGTCTTCTTTCGCAGTTTTTTTTCTTCGTGTACGATCTGGCCAAGATGTCACGATCCAAAGCTTCGTGTATCAAGAGATTTATACGAAATCGCCGATTGGGAATGGTTTTTTTAATCGTTATTAACAATTGCAACCATTATTGAACTCTGTCGTAAGTGTAAATGAATCACATAACCTTATTGAGAATTATAATACATAACAATAAGTTCCATTATAAAAACTATAAGTTAATTAATCTTACGTCCGATATATTTTCATCAAACAAATGATTGCGAAGCAAATGATGGCCTATACAGGTTCCAGGCATGAAAAATTTCCTTCATAAAAATACCGCTGAACAACAAGATATCGTTGATTTAAATCCCCAACGGCATCTCCGCCACCTTTTCCGATGGTGGCCCCGTCACAGCGCGTCGCCATTATTGAGCTTTATTTTCGCCTTTGCACATCCCGAGACATATCCAATGACGGGAGCGAGGGTGGGAAGGCGTGTATGGACGCGCGACTGACGTCCCTCGGTGTTGCGTGGCGTTGGATAGGTTAGATATAGGGGTGGTAAGCGTGGAAGTGGCGGCGGGAGATGGGAAATTAATAAAACTGTCACTTATCTACCCTTCTCTCGGAGGCAGGCCTACACACGGCATTTCTCGCTCCTCTATCTTCGTTGTCACCCTCCACCCCCGTTCGCCACCTCCCCATCTCTTTTCACTCTTCCTCACGTTATCTACCTATCGCACTTTTCCTGCTTCTATTTGTCTCGCTCCGATTACGGGGCGCTCCGCATGCGGGATTTGAAGCAGCTGAAACGAAGCGCTAAACATTTCAATTTGGCATCAGGCGCTTTCATGCCACGCGCGCGCGCCTTGATATACATCTCTCTGTCTCTTCGTCTTTCGACCTATCCTTTCCGCAGTGTATTCCTCGTTCTATCCATTCGACGCTAGGTCGCAGACGCGGAGGGTTGGAGACGCGCGTACTGCCTCTGCTCGTCGAGAGAACAGAGGTAAAGGGTGGTTTGGGCGAGTCGAAGGGAGGCAGAGGATGCACGAAATGGACCAACATCGGTAGAACGGGGACAGGAAAAGTGCGAGGAAGACAGAAAAGAGCCAAGAGCACTGAGAGGAGACGGCAGGACGACGGCGGCGGCGGTGACGACGGGGGGATGGCTTAACCCCAGTCTGTTTGCGAGGAGCAAATGGCGTTCTGCAGTTATTTTAAAATTCAGCCGGTGGCAGGGGGCGCGGATCGGATTAAAAAATCAGAGTGGAAGCTTGTTTCTCATGATAACAGCCAGCCGCCCCGAGAGCGGCAACTGCTGGTGCCGCTGGTTTCTCCCGATTCCGCCTCTCTGCCACTTCTCCATTCCATCTCTATCTCTCTGTTTTCTCCATCCATGTACTGAGCCTGTTTTCCGTCTCTTTTCTTGGCTCGCAGTATCAACGGTTCCACTCTCCCCGTTACTCTTTCTCCTACGTCCCCCCCCCCCTTGCCGATCCCTCCTCGTTCCGTGCCAAGCGATTCTCTCAATCTATCTCTCGTACAGCCGCTACCTCCGGTATCATCACCGCCGCCAACCATCGCTATCACCATCGTCAACCGTTTTAAATATACGACAGCTACATATGTAAATGTGTGTGTGTGTGTGTGTGTGTGTGTGTGTGTGTGTGTGTGTGCGCGCGCGTGCGTGCGTGTGCGTGTGTGTGCGTGTGTGTGCGCGGTGGACCGACAGAATATAGACGAGTTCTGTGCATTTGCCGGAAATATATAAATATATATGCAAATGTGCATAGGTGTGCGTTGATACGCATACGTATGCACGGCATCGTGCACATCCTCCTCTCCTCTCTACAACTGATCGCATCAAGTGCTTGTTTCCATGGTGATTGCTAATCGGGCCGCGCCTCGTGTTCTATCCTATGCCATTTCCATCTTGTAATATCGTTTACCGTTTCGTGAAAAACTCTTTACTGATTGTATAATACAATACACTGACTATAAAAGTGATTAAAAAGTTTAGCATTTTCGATTTTTACAGAAGATACCTATCTATCCTCGACAATCGTTGCGTTTCAGAAAAAACTATTTCTCGTTACTTTGAAAACAAATCTTTATCTGAAGAAATACTTTCGATATTGTCACTTCCGATCTCTTTGCGGGCCGCATCCCAAAGGCATTCTCAATGTAGGTGATGCAACTTTCTTTATCAATTTAACGGTACCTACATTGTAACTATAAAAATTTAGATTCTGATTGTTATAAAAAAAAAATGCGAACTATGTAGGTCTATTAACCCGGAAATAATCATTTGTTTTTATCCAAGAAATAAGAAAATGTGAATTATAAAAAATATTGTTTTAGTTAATCACATATTGTTTAACATATTTTCTTTTTTTTAAATAATTATTCTTTATGAATCTTTAAATATGCAATTTCATCAAAAATCATAATAAAAACGCGTTATATTAATTAAAATTTTTATTTTTTAAATATTATTATAGTAAACTACTTAATGTACTTATTTTGTTGTATTTGATTTGTATTTTTTTTCCAGAAAATTGTAATTAAAATATTAAATCCATATCCATAATGTTGTTAAACATTAATAAATCGAAAAATAATCAATAATACAATATGTTGTTAATAATAGTGATTTTAATTGAGGTGGTGTGTGAAAACACCTTGGATAATTGTTTACATAAAAAGAATCAGGTAACTACTTCCGAATTGAAGAACGAACTATAAGAAGATAACTATGATCAACTAAAAAAAATTAATTAAATATCGTTTTAATATAATATTATTTATACTATAGTTTTTAATTAACTTTTAAAAACGAGTAAAAGAGAAATGTAAATGATTAATAACGATACTTATTAATAAATGTGTAAATGAATAAAATTTTAGTTAACAGAAACATTAATGAAGAGTTATCCCATAAAATTACTGTTAACCGGTTTAAAGAAATATGAGTATACTGATAGAGCAAATGTAAAGTAAATTTAAATAGAAACGCATAATGATGCGTATATATTATCATTAAGCGCCAACCGTACAATGTCTCAAGCCATACTAACCTAATGTATATACGAAGTGTTGATTTAATGTCGTAAAGCACTTTGATTAATGCAAGTCGTAAAAGTATTATCGTCGATATGCGCAACACATTTCCATTGATGTAAATTGCATTACACTTCGACTTCTGCGAGATAATTATAACCTTCGTCTCGAATTAACACACGTATCAACTATCACGACAGTTTCCAGTTGTATGAAATATCACTATTGCGTTCAATCGGACTACAAATTTGTGAAGAATCGTGATTTGCATATCTCGCATATTTCGTCGCTGTACGACGCAAAGGCTGATATTTTTTTTTCGATCCAGACGACTTATTCGTCAAACCAAATGATCGCGCATTGCGGTTAACATCCTCCAAGGGATGAACCGCTATCGTGAATATATTTCTCATAGATAACAACCGGTTCTCCGCGCGCTTCCATGATGAAGCTTCGGATTCTACAAGATCCAGTTAGCGTTTTCAAGACGGCGACTACAGGAATCGAGGCGACCATTAAAAGCCAATCGAACGGCCATTTCTTTCGCCCTTTTCCCGTCAACCGGTTAGTGTAAACGCGTCCATCAAGATGTAGCCTCCAGAGAGGGTGGAAATGAGGAGGGGGGAGCCCCGGGGGTGACCAAGGGCAGTTCACCTCGGGGCAGGTGTGCGGTTGGCATGACTCCGCCCCTCGTCACCGACCGTAACTAGGGATGATATCTAACTTCGTTCTCCATCCTGCTCCCTCTCTTCTGGGCCCTCCGCGCCCGACGCTCCTTTTCAGATACGGTCGTCATGCCTTATGTTTTATCAGCGCGTTACTGCGGCCATTTCAGTGGTAAACGCCATCTTTTTGTGACATGACTGTGAGCACGCACGAGGGTTGCGCTTTCGCGCGCATCTTTCCATTCATCAGACTATCCAAAGTCCATTCGCTCGCCTGCGCTCACTATCCCTGTCGTTTGAGATCGTGCTTGAGTTTAATCAGCCGC